TATCAAACATAATTTAATATGAATAAAATATAAAAAAAAAATGGGAGAAAATAAGAATTTAAAAAAAATGTTTAGTTCTATGTGACATTCTAACTGTGAATGTAATAATATTGTTTGCTTTAACTGCAATTAAATACACATATTTGTATTCAGCGAAGACTCACGTGTAAAACAGTGCCCCCTATGTACAGGTATTATGGTGTTTTCAAAAGTGTTTGTGACTAAGTGGCTACTAAAAAAGACTGGACATACCCCATTTGCAATACCTTGGGTTGTCTACTTTTGCAAATGGTATGCCATGATGGGGGTAATTCTTATTCCTGTGCTACCATACGGTCTCAAAGGCAACGTTACCAACCTGGCGAATTTCAATGTGAAAAAACTGAAACGCTAGCCTTATATTTGACTCTGTAACTTTTGAAAACACCATAAAACCTGTACATGAGGGGTATTGTTATACTCAGGAGACTTCGCTGAACACAAATATTAGTGTTTCAAAACAGTAAAATGTATCACAACAATTATACCGTCCGTGTAAGTGCCATTTGTGTGTGAAAAATGCAAAAAAAAGTCACTTTCACTGCCGATATCATTGTTGTAATACATTTTACTATTTTGAAACACTAAGATTTGTGTTCAGTGAAGTCTTCCGAGTAAAACAGTACCCCCCATGTACAGGTTTTATGGTGTCTTGGAAAGTTATCGGGTTAAATATAGTGCTAGCCAATTTAAATTCCCTGGACTTTTGGCCTGGGTTGTCAGGCAGGTCCCGCAAATTGTAATTAATAAAATGACCTAATTATGTAAAATTATTGCATAAATATATACTTAGAATTATTATTATATATATATATGTGTATATATATATGTATATAATTTTTTTAAATTATTTTTATTTATATATAGGTATATATATAGTGATATATACTTATGTATATATATATATATATATATATTTCATTCTATGTGTATTTTGATATCAATATATATATATATATATATTAATTTTAAAATACAGTTAGAACGAAATTACACATATATTTTTATTTATTTATTTTTTATTATTTTCTACATTTTATTTTTTAACGGATATACATATATATTTATTTTATATTATATATAAATATATATATTATATATATATAATGATAATTATATATGTATTTAATCAATATATTGCGACGTGTACTTTGATATTAATATATATATATATATATATATATATATATATAATTATATATATATATATTAAAGGACCACTCTAGGCACCCAGACCACTTCAGCTTAATGAAGTGGTCTGGGTGCCAGGTATCCAACTTTAAGGGTTGTATTTTTAATAAACATAGCGGTTTCAGAGAAACTGCTATGTTTATTAATGGGTTAAGCCTTCCCCCTAATCCTCTAGTGGCTGTCTCATTGACAGCCACTAGAGGCGCTTGCGTGCTTCTCACTGTGATTTTCACAGTGAGAGCACGCCAGCGTCCAAAGGAAAGCATTATGAATGCTTTCCTATGTGACCAGCTGAATGTGCGCGCAGCTCTTGCCGCGCGTGCGCATTCAGCGGACGGGGAGGATCGGAGGAGGAGAGGCTCTCCCGTGGCTGGAAAAGGTAAGTTTTAACCCCTTTCCCCTTTCCAGAGCTGGGCGGGAGTGGGACCCTGAGGGTGGGGGCACCCTCAGGGCACTATAGTGCCAGGAAAACTAGTATGTTTTCCTGGCACTAAAGTGGTCCTTTAATATTAAAATATACTTAGTGTATGTGTATTTATGTATATGTGTGTATATATACTTAGATCATATATATAAATATAAATATATATATATGATCTAAGTATATATAATGTAATTTTAAACTGTTTTAACATTTATTTTTGCATTTTTCAGGCAGCAGTGGGAGTACCTGTCGTGTGATCGCGATCACATGGTCCAGGGGGGGGCAAAGAGGAAGGAGGTTGACTCCCTGGGCTCCCCTTAAGGGGTTAAAATGGGATGAGGCAAAAATGTGATTCTTTGTTAAACTAATATGCATATGCCCACCCAGAATCCTTTGCGATAGTAACATCACTGTAGATTTGTGATTTCTATGGGAAAAGCTAGTCTTATGGCTTGACTGGTGGGTAGATTTTTGTTTAACATTGTATTAACACACATATATATATATATATATATATATATATATACAGTCAGGCTATTTTGTCTTTTTGTAATAAATAGAAAAATACCTGAACTTTAGAGGCTGGAAATTGACCTAATATATAGTGGGCTAGGAGGATCCGGAGTTAGTTTATCTACAGAGGTATAGAGCTGTTAAACAATGCATTGAGAATTTTATCATGGGATAACTTTGATGTAGGCTCCATCACTGGAACATAGAATGTAACCATCATGTCTGATGACTTGAGTAAATGTTGCATTCGATGATCCATGAGCTCGCCAGGTAATCTGATAACAGTTAGGGGTATCATCAGAACACATTAGGAATTTTATTGAAACAGAAGTAGACAGGAACGGAGAACCTGGTATGAAGACAAGGCATTTATTGGGAAGTGAGGGGAGAAAACAAAATCTTCCAGTGTTTGGTCAGATCGATTACTTGTCTTCTGCAGAAGTTTGAGCAATCAGGCTCAAAAAACATTCACCATAACGGACTTATATAGAAATTATAAACACACAACTATTATATAGTACAGTGCTATGGAATCTGATGGCGCTATATAAATATATATATATATATATATATATATGTATATATATATATATATATACACACACATATATATATATATATATAGTTACAGAACATTTCCTCTGATAATATACATGTTGTCTAAAAGTTTACTCCAAGCACCAGTGATTTGAAGTGGTTATGGTGCTTGGAATCTGCATTCACTGCATTTCGCTTTGAAATGCTATTCGGACTGAGATAAACCCTTCTGCTGCTAGAGATGTAACTCCGCCTCCGTCAATGTCTTTGTGACATCATTAGCCAGCCCAGAAAATATTTCCAGGTTGCTAATGTTAATTTGGTGCATATTGGATGTCTGATGTCAGCGTGAACAACATCCAATCACGGCATACCACCCCTCCCCCTTTGTGTTGACCATGTCTTCCCCTCAGCCTCTGCTTCCCCTAGATCCCTCCCAGTTCAGCATGGAAGAGTGGCATTAGCATGGGATCTGGATGCAAGAAGAACTTGGCCTCCATGCCAGAACAATGTGAGTTTTAGCTTTATATATATATATATATATATATATTATTTGTTTTATTGGTTTTGTTTTGATTGGGGTTTGGGTCAGCAAAACAAGGTTACTCTAACTACTCTAACAGTTTTTGTTTGGAGTAACTCTTTAATGTAGACATTGCACTGATAAGAAAAATGTCATGTCATTTTAATACAGTTTCAAAGGTCTTGAAGGGGAAAAAAAGTTCAGTTTTCCCCTAAAATGTCTAGTTTAAAGAGGCCTTATTTAGAACATACAGGTATCAGTGTATCCATGAAAACATTCTGCAACATTAATGAAACCTTGTTTTTTTTAATGTAGGCAACTCCCTGATAGACATCCCAGAGTATGTGTCACTAGGAAATGAAGCATAGTAACAGGTCTGTGCAGTCACATTTACAGGCTGTGGGAGGGGACTGATTGACTGCAAAATACATTCTAAAATAAGGAAATTTTATACATCTATTTATACAGGCTTTAAAATATAATACATCCAATCCACATTGCTATAGACAACATCACAGGATTAATAATAATTTTCAAATTCCAATTAGGAATTAAAATAGCACATGGAAGATGTTAATCAAACTTTATATTTAATTATAATGTTAAGATTATCCTATAATATTCCTTTAGTATTTATTACACATTCAATTTCTTTTTTCTAAATTTACCAATTTTGGAAATATATAATCTATTTATGTATTATCATCCTATCATAAACTGTGTAATAAAAATAATATTTAATATAACCTATTAAAAATAAGTTCAGAAAAAACAAAACAAAAAAACCCCCACTCCTATACTCATAAAAGTTACATGCACCACTCCATCCTCCATTAAAAAAAAAAAAATACAAATTATATAAATAAAGTCATCGTCAGCCTTCCTCTATCTCTCCCTGAGAAAAGGCAAATCCAAAATGTCTTCTAAATAAAAAAAAATAATGAAACTTTCCCTGATGCACATGTTCAAAGAGCAAAAAAAAAAAAAAAAAGAAATAGATGGTATTTAAATTCCTGCATCTTCCTGCTGTACACATATGATGTATAGATTTAATTTTATTGAATGTAAAGTGGACACATAGGCATATATTTAAATTTATTTGTAAAATTTCCATATGTGAAAAAGTGTGCTTAGAAAATGTAAATGTTTTTTTTTTTTTAAATGGTGAAATGTGCCTAAAGTTCCATTAGAGCACAATGGTGTGCAGGTGTAAAATAAAAAAAAATAAATGCCATGGCTGTAAAATCTAGATTTCAATGGAATATAATATATACAGTGTGACATGGCTGGCTGGCAGGCTGGAGGTGTAAAATATCAATATAAAGGAGTATATTGTGTGGGAGCAGTGCAGGCAGTGAGTGAGTGAGGGGATGGATAGAGGAGGCTGGCTCAGTGAGTGCTTCACTCAGTGAGTGAGTGAGGTGCCGGGGTTGCCATGTTTCTCAGTGGCAGGTTGCCCGGGGTGGGTGCAGGGGCCGCCTCGCGATATACATAGTGTTCCATAGTGTCACACAGTGTTGTTACATAGTATCAGTAGGAGCGGAGCGTGACGCCGGCCTGCCTGCCTAGCGAGCGGCTGGCTGTGAAGGTTGCGCCCAGCAGCAGACAGGCTCCTTGCAGACGCAGTGCAGAGGTGCGGGCAGGTTGTGTGATCCGAGCCCCAGCCAAAGGCCGACCTCCCCCCTCTCCCTCTCTCTCCCTCCCTCCTTCCTCCACTCACACACTCTCTCACTCTCTCTCCCTCCCTCACTCACTCACTCACTCACTCACTCACCCTCCCCCGAGCGCTCGCCAGGGGGCCCCGAGGACACGGCGCCCCCCCATATCCCCCGCCGTTAGCCCCCCCCGGGGGGAGATCGTATCCGGCGGGGGGAGTCCCGGCCATGACCGGCCTGGCCCAGCGCTGCCTCCCCGAGCCAGGAAAGTAGCTTGATGAGTGTCCAAAGTAACAGTGGAAGTTTGGAGGGGGCGCCATCTTGGTCCCAGCTCTCCACGTCCCCGACGCAGGGCTCGGCTTTGCTGCGGAATAGCACGCCGCCTGGCAAGGCCAAGGAAGGTAAGGGGAGCCGGGGGCACGGGGGAAGCCTTCCCTGAGGGGCTGAGGCCTGGCTGGGGGTGAGGGGAGTGGGGGCTGGGGAGGGAGCCCGGCCTGAAGGGGGTGCCCGGGGGGGGTAGGTAGGACCTGTACACAACATGTCAGAGTGCCCTGACCCAGCCACCAACACCACATCATGGGCAACTTTGTACAGGCATGCCATGGGTAAAGTGCTGATAATATGGGGGGGTGCTGGGCATGCAACTCCCACAGCTCCCAGCCAGCAGCTGCTGCTGCGCGTGGCCGAGGGTGATGGGAGTTGTAGCCTTAATATTGAGGAGGAGGAAGGGGTGGGTTGCCTCAGGTTGCCTTCACCCCCTGCTGTAAACCATGGCTTGGCTTGCCAGCCCTCATGGAAGGTTGTAGATCTTTATTATTATTATTATTGTTGGTTTTTATTTTTTGTTTTGTGTTTTTTGTTAAAAGATGAAGCCCTGGTGGATGTTATATGTCAGAGGTTTTGTGTTGTGTGTCTGCTGTGCTTCTTCCCATCCGGTTTACAGTTCAGCCACCAAGCAAGCACCATCCTCATCCTCCTCCTCCTGCTGCTCTGTGTGTCTTGTACAGACATCTCACATCTGCTAACTTCAGTCTTTTAACACAGTGTGCAAGGATCCATGCTGATAGATCTCTGGGCTGCTCAACTCTAGTTTTCATTGCAAACTCTTTATTTTACATTTATTGTGTGTGTGTTTTTAAACACTTATGGTCAAGGTTATTCTGTAAACTATGGTTAGGAATTCAAAGTGAATTTACAGCAAATTCCAAATTGGAGGCTAAAAAAAGCTGAACGGAAATTCATAAATTATTCAAATTCTGCTATTTAAACCTAAAATTTGAAATTTACTTTGAATTTGTTACTATTCGACCTTTAGTAAATAATCCTAAATTTAAAAAAATAAATAAAAAAATATATATGTCCATGCATAGGTGTGTTTGTTTAATGTATACACCCTTTCTTTGGCAGTTGCATAAAATTATGTATATTTTGGCTGCAAACGTCTATTAAGTTACTATGAATATTGCCATAGGCAGTGTGATCACCATTTAGTATAGACTTCTTGAATGTGCAGCTAAGGCGATGCCATTCTTTGCAATGACGGTACAGAATTGGTTTCATTCATCAGGCAGCCTGATTCACAGTCTGACCCATTGTCAGTTCTTGATCTTTATGCACTTAATTTAGAAGCGGAGAGTCTCCAGAGGGAGAAGAAGCTGAGCTCTGATATTCCAAATCTAGTAAATCCAGCAGCTAAAAACAGTGATCTGGAGAGATTGAAATCCATTCTCCTGAGAGCCAGCCAGGATGGTAGTGCATGTGTAGGAATGGAGGAGTATTTATCCGTTTGCTGTTCAGTTTGTCAGCAGGGCCCAGCTGCAAAGACCTTTGTCCTCCCATATATTGTCATTTAACCAACTGGCTAGCAGTGCGTTTTAGTAGCTCTTCTATTTGGCAAGACGTAACCCTTTCCTTGCTGTTGGGCTATTACATTGCTCCACCCTGTGGTGCAGAACCTGCTACCGAATAAATTGTAAAAATTTCAATACCGGTTATATATCTTATGATGTCAATTGCAGTAGGAATTTCTTACAGTTTTAATTTAGCAATCACTTCCCTTTTGCATTTAATACTCCTTTTTTTCATCTCTTTTATTTTTT